ACAGTGTTGGATGGACTACATTACAACATCACCATAGCTTACTACAGTGTTGGATGGACTACATTACAACATCACCATAGCTTACTACAGTGTTGGATGGACTACATTACAACATCACCATAGCTTACTACAGACTACATTACAACATCACCATAGCTTACTAAACTACAGTGTTGGTTGGAAAGCAACAAATGCTGTATTACCACTTCACCATAACTTCATGTCTGGGACATCTTGTGAGCACGAAAAAGGGTTGGAGCCCGTTTCAAATTGTGCGAGATACTACGGATTGCAAGATAAATTCTCTTACACTTTTTTTGTTGGCAAGTGTTTTATGGTGCTGGCAACAGCATAAGGTCATATGAGCTGTTGTGACCGTGTGAAGCTAATTGCGTCTCTTACCTCCAGTTCTTTCTTCCCGACTTTTGTCTTGTCGTCCTCCGTGACCCACGTCGGCAATGGCGGAACTCGCACACCCTAGGAGAGAAAGGAGACAAGGTTCGCCATTTGTTTCAGTACGAGTCACACACCGTAAAAGACACAAGAAATCTCTGAGATCTACTCTTCCGGCAAAATTTAAACAGTTTCTGAGTCTTTCTGACTGATGGGGGAATAAATAGTTGGAGTAGTTTTGAAAAGCTGAAGGTCCTCAATTGTCGTAAAATAAATCTACAACAATTGTTGAACATCAAAAGATCAAACACTTCCATTGAAAGTTCTGAAGAGTTTGAGCTCTTCAATTGCCATCTCCTACATTTCAAACAACTGTTGAATACGATTACATCAAACACTTACACTAGAAGTTCAGAAGAATGTTGACTCCTCAATTGCCATACCCTCTAACTAAAATAATTGTTAAATATCATTACATCAAAAACACTTCCATTTGAAGTAGTGAAGAGTTTGAGCTCTTCAGTTGCCATACCCTACAACGAAAACATTTGTTGAATATCAGTCACTTCCATGGGATGTTGTAAACAAATAAACATTTGTTGAATATTAGTCACTTCCATGGGATGTTGTAAACAAATAAACATTTGTTGAATATTAGTCACATCCATGGGATGTTGGGAAGGGTCTGGGCTCCTCAATTGTCATACACTACATGGAAAACAATAATTGTCAAATATGATTACATCAAAAACTTACATTGGAAGATCTGAACAGTTTGAGCTCCTCCATCTTGAATTCCTTCCACACGGGCGCAGGTTGCTGCAGGATGAGCCTCACAGACACGATGTTGCTTAAGTCACATGAGAACTGGAGGCACACAAAATATAGCTGTTATAGATGATGCTTAAGTCACACACAAACTGAACACACACAAAATATAGCCCTGCTTAAGTTACACACAAACTGAACACACACAAAATATAGCCCTGCTTAAGTCACACACAAACTGAACACACACAAAATATAGCCCTGCTTAAGTTACACACAAACTGAACACACACAAAATATAGCCCTGCTTAAGTCACACACAAACTGAACACACACAAAATATAGCCCTGCTTAAGTTACACACAAACTGAACACACACAAAATATAGCCCTGCTTAAGTTACACACAAACTGAACACACACAAAATATAGCCCTGCTTAAGTCACACACAAACTGAACACACACAAAATATAGCACTGCTTAAGTCACACACAAACTGAACACACACAAAATATAGGCCTGCTTAAGTCACACACAAACTGAACACACACAAAATATAGCACTGCTTAAGTCACACACAAACTGAACACACACAAAATATAGCACTGCTTAAGTCACACACAAACTGAACACACACAAAATATAGGCCTGCTTAAGTCACACACAAACTGAACACTCACAAAACATAGCCCTGCTGGATGGTGCGTCATTGCTAGAGGTTTCAGAGTACACTTCTGCACCACTGACTAAGCCCGTCCATTTGACTGAATGTCGACCATTTTCTTTGATAAGACCAGCGAATGTACCACTTATCTCTAACTACAGATCAAATGTTCATTTCTTCTAGTATAATAGTCAGTTCAATTATTCCAGCACATTTTGCCTTTTTCGCTGGGGTTTTTAAACGTGAAAATGTCTGACCACGGCCACATTGGACAAGGACTGCTATAAACAGGATCACAATTCACAAATGACACACAAAGGTGTGCAGGAACAGCGGCTGTCAGTACACGGACCCAGGAACAGCGGCTAATGGTACACGGACCCAGGAACAGCGGCTGTCGGTACACGGACCCAGGAACAGCAGCTAATGGTACACTGACCTAGGAACAGCGGCTGTTGTACACGGACCCAGGAACAGCGACTGTTGGTACACGGACCCAGGAACAGCGGCTGTTGGTACACGGACCCAGGAACAGCGGCTGTTGGTACACGGACCCAGGAACAGCGACTGTTGTACACGGACCCAGGAACAGCGACTGTTGGTACATGTGACCGCCATACAGAACACACACAAGGGTGTGCAGGAACAGCAGCTGTTGGTACACGGACCCAGGAACAGCGGCTGTTGTACACGGGACTGCCATGTTGGGGGGGGGGGGGGACTGTTATGGAGGGGAGTCAGTTTGACTGTAGACATTTTTCCTCATAAGACAAAAACTGTCTCAAATTCTATCAAACACACATGCCCCCACACACGACAGAACACCAGCATAGGGACCTACATGTTTCCTGGTCAGACAGAAGGAATCCTGAGCGCCCGTCTCGCCGTGAGGGTCTGGCATGAGCGGGAATCTGCGTAGAGCGACACGCCAGCCCTGGTCCTGGGCTGGAACAAAGAGACACGTGAGTGTGTCATGACGTGGTGGAATCAAGCTCTCGTCAATTTTTGGACATTAGGAGTTATTGGTATCAACCTAAAGCTTTTTCACCTGTCTTTATTTGGACGAAAAAAATATCCATTTATCTTGAATACAAGTCGAGATATTTGCAAATAAAGGAGGTGGGGGTCATCTGTTTTCAGAGGTAAAATTAGTGAGAAAATGGCAACCAAAGATTAGTTATTTCCTTAGCTTAAGAGTCCGTGGTAACTGAACATTTACATTTTTTGCAGCTTTAAACAACGTTTTTCAGAAAATTCCACAAAGAAATGCGTTCTTTGATGGGCGCGGAATGAAAGGTGTTGAGCAGAGCAACAACAATTTGACAAAAATTCACAAACCTGTGGAAAAATGCAAGTTTCTTCACTTTGATTATTTTGACAAGAGCCTGATTCCACCACGCTGCCTCACATATGTGTCACAACATGGCGGAATCAGGCACACGGCAATTTTTGGACATAGAAACCTGTTACTATCATCTTGAAGCTTGTTTAATTTTCTTACATTTGGCAAAACAAAAAAAATCTATCTTGAATAGATGTCGAATTTTTGTGATTGAAGGAGGTGCGGGTCGCCAGGTGTGAGAGGTAAAATTAGCGGGAAAATGGCCGCCAAAGTTTGGTGACTCCAAGAGTTTGAAAACTGTACATGTACATTCTCTGGGCCTTTGGACAATGTTTTTCCGCAAAATCCACACAGAAATGTCTCCTTCATTGAGCCAAGACAAAACAGTGGTCTTTAAATTGCACAATGGTAAAAAAAACTGGAGATTTCCTCGATTCTCTTAAACAAGAGTTCACCACGCCGTCTCACATTTCCTCGATTCTCTTAAACAAGAGCTCACCACGTCGTCTCACATTTCCTCGATTCTCTTAAACAAGAGCTCACCACGCCGTCTCACATTTCCTTGATTCTCTTAAACAAGAGCTCACCACGCCGTCTCACATTTCCTTGATTCTCTTAAACAAGAGCTCACCCCGCCGTCTCACATTTCCTTGATTCTCTTACTTCAACAAGTGCTCACCACGCCGTCTCACATTTCCTTGATTCTCTTACTTCAACAAGTGCCTGAATTCACCACGCCGTCTCACATTTCCTTGATTCTCTTAAACAAGAGCTCACCACGCCGTCTCACATTTCCTTGATTCTCTTACTTCAACAAGTGCTCACCACGCCGTCTCACATTTCCTTGATTCTCTTACTTCAACAAGTGCCTGAATTCACCACGCCGTCTCACACTTCCTTCAAAGAAACATTTATCAGAAAGGAACAGCTCATAAATGTTAGAAAGTGAACAAGCTCAACGGATAACGGAAAAGGCCACACACTGTCTGCACTACACAACAAAAAGTTGGGCACCTCCCATAACTGCATCTCAGGAGTGAAATAAATACAAGATTCACAGCTATTACAGAATGGATTTTTTACATTTTATAATGAAGCAAAAATTAAACTTTTCTGTCACCCTGCTAAACAGTCTTCCATCTTTCCCTTCCTGTCCTGCGTTAAGCTCCATGAAATTGTCCCACATGATAGTGATGTATCATTTGAGTAGGTTCAGTTCCTAGCCCAGTGAAAGTCTTTACCAAAGACAAGCAGCAGAAGAGACAGAAATCATTATCTTAAAATAATAGTTTGAAAAAAGTAGAAGTTGTAGACGTCTTCTCAAACCAGCTTCCAGCAATCACAACAGGCAGGCCACGAGTCAAGAATTAACACTCAGACCCGGGACATTTGTCACTGGCTCCAACAAGCTGAGGAAACAACTTTTGTGTAACGAGAAACTCAAAACAAAAACCAAGAGGAGAGCGATCCATGAGAAAATTCTGAGCACACAGCTGTCTGTCTGTCTGTGAGTGAGCGAGGGAGCGAGTGAGTGAGTGAGTGAGTGAGTGAGTGAGTGAGTGAGTGAGTGAGTGAGTGAGTGAGTAGTCCAGGTGGAATGTGCTCACTGCTGACTTGGTTCACGACATAAATTGTAGGTCATCTGCTTGGTTTGTTTGTTTTTTTGTTGTTGTTGTTGTTTTGTTTTTTTTGTTTCTTTTTTTTTGGGGGGGTTGTTATTGTTTTAAAAAAAATAAGTTTAAGGTGTTTTTACACTCCCATCAACACAATTAAGATAATTTATGAGACGGGCTTCTGAATCTGACCCTTTTTGTCAGCAGTATCCCAGCAGACAGACCCGGACTGAGAGGGATACAACATCCCAGCAGACAGACCCGGGCTGAGAGGGATACAGTATCCCAGCAGACAGACCCGGGCTGAGAGGGATACAACATCCCAGCAGACAGACCCGGGCTGAGAGGGATACAGTATCCCAGCAGACAGACCCGGGCTGAGAGGGATACAACATCCCAGCAGACAGACCCGGGCTGAGAGGGATACAGTATCCCAGCAGACAGACCCGGACTGAGAGGGATACAGTATCCCAGCAGACAGACCCGGACAGAGGGATACAGTATCCCAGCAGACAAACCCGGACTGAGAGGGATACAGTATCCCAGCAGACAGACTGAGATGCCCCACAACAAAGTTCTCCCGCTATACCCGCCTGTAACGTCCCACACACCAAAGTAGGTCACAGAAACAGCATGACCAAAGACCGGGTAGCGGGGAATCTTTGGCACGACTTACGTCCTTCTCGCGGAGTATCTTCTGTCAGTTTGATTTTTGCCTTCACAGTCAGGAAAGCCACATAGAAATTCTGGAATCGAATTTCTCCAATCTGAAAAAAAAAAATGTTGTTAAGAAAAAGTTATCCCAAATATTGGCTTAAAATGACAAGAATTATTTATTAATACAACTATTAATGGTAATTTACAAAAAAACAAATTAACTTTGACAACTCGTGTTGCCATTCTGTAGACATGAATGTCGTCAGCTCTATCTAATAATCAGAGTGTTGTTTTCTTGAATAATTCGATCTACGTGTATTGAGTAAAGAAAACAGCCATCAGTTTTCGCTTGCATACACAGCATCAACTCCAGAGATGGGAAAAGAACAATACATAGATCTTTCTCTTTTCCATTCTGCAGCAACCCATCAAGATGAATGAGATAATTGGTACATGCAGAGGAAACATGATATTGTCAATCCAAAAACATCCAGTATACTTGTCATAAAAACACCTCAACAGGAAAAAGTTCCTCACAGGGAGAGAGGAAATCCCCAGACACAGTCGGAGCAGACGGGCCTGTGTCTATACATTCTTACTAACCGTTCTCTGAGCGTCTAGGCCTGTGTGAACACATCATGTGTCTATACGTTCTTACTAACCGTTCTCTGAGCGTCTAGGCCTGTGTGAACACATCATGTGTCTATACGTTCTTACTAACCGTTCTCTGAGCGTCTAGGCCTGTGTGAACACATCATGTGTCTATACGTTCTTACTAACCGTTCTCTGAGCGTCTAGGCCTGTGTGAACACATCATGTGTCTATACGTTCTTACTAACCGTTCTCTGAGCGTCTAGGCCTGTGTGAAAACATCATGTGGCGAGAGGGGAGAATATGTAGCAAAAATGACGCCAGTATTCAAAATATTGATATAATTTTTTAAAATGTATTACCCAGCTGCAAACAGCAGATCTGATATTTTCCCTCATGAACTGCCCTTGAGATACATAATGCAGTAGTATCCATTTTAGTCTTACTTTTCCACAGCTTCGATATTCCCACCGGTTTCATCCAGTATTCTCCTACTTTGGCCTGTGAGATCTTTGGACATGCTACACCTGGCCTGTAACTGTTCCCCCTACGACTCTGTCTGTGCCTGTAACAGTCTGGTTCCCCACCACCTCCCCGACTGTGCCTGTAACAGTCTGGTT